CCCGAATGTCCCAAATTATCCCGTTCCACTTGTTTATCAGGTGACTCTCTCCAAGTCTTTGTCTGTAGGTTCTTAATGGCCTGTTCAAAGAGAGACTGGTGACTTTGGTCTTTGCTATGGTTTCCGTTACATCTCGGCTCTCTGTTCACATGTATTGATTCTTCCTTTACTTATTACCCCTTCTTGCAGCAAAAAGGTCCCTGATCATATAACCTTAATGAAGCAGAGGTTCTTACCTTCCCTATACCCTTATAGTACCATCTGTGTACAATAATTTACCCTCTTTTCCTTCCACTTTCTCAAAGCAGTTGTAAAACCAAACTATGTAAAGAGAAGTATTCCATCAGTCACAGATGTAGAAAATGGTATTTCATGGTCAAAATTATCCTGGAAACTTAAACATTGTTTAGAACATCTAAAAGAAAGATCTGTTTAAATAGTACCTCTGAAATATGCTGTCATATGTGACTGCAAAGAATTTGAAGTATTTTTTCATTATTTTTGGTATGAAGATGCATCTTAGGAAGCTGGAATCTATGCACAACCCTCAACAGATATATTTTCGGCATGACGTTCTCTGTGAGACCCTGGCTGGCAACACCTGTCCGTTAGTGACTATTACAGCCATGCCAGAGTCCAATTACTATGAACACATCTGTCAGTTCAGTAAGTATTACTCTACTTTCTCATCAGCTGAAAATAATGTAAAACTAGATATTTGTAGAAAAAAATTAGTCTTAACCGCTATGCAGTGTAAAAATAGCAATGTAAAATGAGGTTAATGAATTTCATGAAACTGAGGGGCATCAGTATTCAGGAATTGTTTTGTATATAATTATACTTATTTGTGGTAGTGAAACAAAGATATAAATATCTTTAAATGTAAGAATATATATTAATGCATTTTAAATTTTTGCTGCTAGGTTTGTACATTACATTTTGCAGACAGCACTTCTTGAAAAAGAATACTGGACAAGTAACTTTTTCTTAAAGTGCTGAGGTTATTAGCTTGTAAAAAAAATCTTCCATAAAGCTAACATCTAGCTGCTCTGATTTGAAGTGGGCTTTTGCCATTTCCTGATTTGTTTGTCCACCTCAGTATTTTTCTTGGCTATTGGGAAAAAAGTAATGAAAGTTGGATCATAACTTCCAGCTCAAATTGGTTGTGTAATTGTCTGATCAAATTTAAAGCTCCATTGTGATAGTTCTGTAATTAGCAGTCCTTTCAAAAATGTTGTGGCAAGCTCTATCAATAATACCCATACTCATTAATACTTAACTTACAAATGTTTTTTGCGTTGTTATAAATGCAGTGGGCTATTGGCTCTTTTTCCAATCAACAAACTGTTTACTCAGCTTAAATAATATTTTGCAATTTCTGTGGATATCTTTTTTAGGGAATCGTCCTTATATATTCCTGTCTGCCCGTGTGCATCCTGGAGAGACTAATGCAAGCTGGGTTATGAAGGGAACACTGGAATACCTTATGAGCAATACTCCAAATGCGCAGTCTTTACGGGAATCTTATATTTTCAAAATTATTCCCATGCTCAATCCAGATGGTGTCATCAATGGAAAGTAAGCATATATTTACTCATAAATATTTAACCTCTAATTGTACTAAAATGTACTCTAATTCTTTGCATCAATATTTAAAAATAAATAATCTAAACTAATCCTGCAAAGGTGCAAATGCAATATGCAATGTGATAAAAAAACAACAGACACTGGCAATATTGCTAGGATTTTTGGCTTCTTAAAAGGCAGTTACATTCCTTCACAAATTTCAGTTTTACAAAAAAATATTTCCAGCTGTTCATGGATGATAATCATTCCTATGTGATTTGACATGAAATTTTAATAGTCTCTGTCTTGGATTTCTGTAAGAGTGTTAAATGAGACCATACCTGCATTTAGAAAAAACTAAATAAGTTCATGGTCTACATGAAAAAAGAAAGTGCCTTACATTTGAGAAAGCCTTTTACATAATTTTTTTGAAAGCTGGTTAGTTAATAGGCATGCAAGAGAAAGGGTAATAGAGTATCCTGGTTTGATTAAAGTTATTAATAGTAGTTATTTCAATTGCTACACTTTTCTTGATAAATTTAAGGGATATTTCAGAACTTTTTGAAACTGCTATGAGTAAACATTGAGCAGTCTACATTTACTTGGTTGCAGGGAATTCATGTAAAATGGAAATTTTGCTATGATAAAGCTGCAGTTTCTATTAATCTACTATAGGTACTATTTTAAAAGGTTTTGTGAACAAAATAATAAAACTAATTACAGATTTCAGTAGAACTTTGTCTTTATATATGTAAAAGAATGTGTATACTAGAATACATGTAATTAAATAATTCAGGATACAGGGACAATTAAGAAGGCTGTCCCAACACACACAGTCTAAAGGCAAATATAGTGAAGATGACTGCATGATCATGAAATCATGCAAGTTTAAAAGTTCTTGCTGATAGCTGACTGAATACAGAGATGATCTTTTTGTTTCCTGGGTTGTTTTAGGTTTTTTTGTCCTTGTTTTTCTCATAGCTCCTTGTCTCCTGACAACTTCACATTTCAAGTATTAGATTTCTAGTTGACATTAGTCTCTAAATTACAGAAGACACCAAAATTGTAAAGATACCATATGTATGAACTATAATTTGGATGGAATTGCAAGCCTTCATTTTCAACAGCAAATAAGTAATATTACAGTTGGCTTCGCCTAAGAGGCTACTTCTAATTTATTTTTAGATTTTCTGTAACATAGCTTAAAACACCCCAAACATTTCTATTATTTGGCATGTTAGGAAATTGAAGTTTGTTTCTTGCCAGACTCCTTCCAAAGAAGCAGTGTTGATGAGGAAAACTTGAGGTGGGGGGAGGCTTATTTAAAAGTATGATAATACAGACTACATCATGCGTTTTTCCACCCCCCCCGCAATAGCCACCGTTGCTCTTTAAGTGGAGAAGATTTAAACAGACAGTGGCAAAATCCAAATCCAGATCTGCATCCCACTATTTACCATGCTAAAGGGTTACTGCAATATCTGGCTGCTATAAAACGTTTGCCTTTGGTAAGTATGTGTGTGTAAGCAATTCTGAATCTTTTTAACTTTATCTATGTAGCTAGTCTATAAATTAAACATTTTGATATGGTCTTGTAAACCACGTCACACTTAAATTTGACTTGGAGAACTGGTCTTCTGCAAACCTGTAGATGTAAATCTGTTACATTGGCTAGGCTAGAAGGTTAAATCTTCCTTAGATGAATCACACACTTTTTGTCTTAATGAGAGTTAATTATATAAGGGATTGTGTTGCTTAATTCTTTTGAATGTTCAACAGCATAAATAAAAAAAAATGTCTTTCTATTACTTTCTTAAAATTTTTATTCCATATGCTCTGAGTTTATTTTGCCAAATGATTTATTATAGGTCTACTGTGATTATCATGGTCATTCTCGTAAAAAGAATGTATTTATGTATGGCTGCAGCATCAAAGAGACAATGTGGCATACTAATGTTAATGCTGCCTCTTGTGACCTGATGGAAGACCCTGCTTACAGGGTGAGTTTGACATTTGTACCTTTTACTTGGCATGGGTTTGGAACATCCTTTTCAAGTAGTATCCTGATCCTATCCTGTGCTAATAATTACTCTATAGCATAAGCAGACTTATTTAAAATCACATCTTTTTAGTTTGTGAGTGTATTTCAAAGTACACTTCATGAAGCTTTAAACATTATACATAGAGGGCTTTTTTTTTGTTTCTTTACACCGATATTTCTTTTTGTGTTTAATATTACTTTTATAGAAAATAGATGGATAATATGCTTCTCTGCATTTATAATTACCAGATTAAAAAACAAGTCATTGAGGCATGGCAAACAATATTCTAGCAACAAGGCAAAAAAGAAACTGAATTGTTCTGAGAAATAATTATTTTTGTATATGGAAATATGCAAGATTCCTTTTTATTTATTTCTTTATATAAAGATGTGTAGCTAAGACATGTGCCTTTAATTAGGTATATATAATAAACTTGCACAAACACATCCTCTGCATTGTATAAGCTTTCAAACATGCAAAATATTTAGAGAATTATGTGTTTCTTGGAGAGTTACCTATTTCTTCTGTGTGTCTCCCTCCATTGCTGCCTCATGGGAACTGCAAACCTGTGTGACATATATGTGTGCAGGCTCTATTTTTTTGAAAAGATTCAGAGTTAAACTTCGAAAGCATGTGAATGCATGTTAAAACACTTGTTATGCATCCTTTTCTACAGATGCTTTCTGGTTTTTTTTCCTTTAAATCTCCCTCGCAAAAAACAAAAAAACCAACCAACCAATCAAACAAACAAACAAAGAAAAAAAATAGTGGCTTCTTGATTTTCTTGTGTGATTTCCTGGATGTTGAGCCAGATGCCAATCATGTCTGCTGCTCTAACACATTTATATGGGGTTTTGTCACTTCAGCGCGCACTACTGTAATGCACAAATGACAGTAGTCAATAAGGGCTGTTGGAAAAAGCCTTTCATTTTCAAAAAGGTGCGTTGAAATGTTTGGGCAAGCTTGCACTAATGGGTTATGCATTACTACTGAAACAATAAATTTGAAGTAGTCATGTGTTTTTTCTTAACTGACACAAATAAAAACTAGAAAGAACAGTCATTTAGCAATAGTCAAATATGTATATTTGCATGACCTTTTCACTGAAACTGTCATGTAAACAGAACTGAACTTTGATTCACATGCTTGAAGTGAAATACGCAACTAGTGCTTTGCTGAATACAAATGAATTTTATGTGTTAATAAAATACTGCTTTTGTTAGGTCTGTAAATGGGATTTCTGAAACGGTCTGCAGTTGAATTAAATACTTATGTGGAGTATGTGGTACACTTAATTTGAGCAAACTTAACTTGGTGAGTTAGGAGTGATGGTGATCAGCTGAAAAATTCTACTGTATCCTGATCCTTATTTGCATGACTAACAATTTTAGTGACTGAACCTGAAAAAAGGGATTTTAAAAACTAGGAAAAGGCCTGAAGACATTCTTACTTGAACACACTGATTTTTGAAAACTCAAGATGGAGAATGATTTCTTTCTTTCATTTTTAATGCAAACTGCATCAAATTTTCTGGTAGTGGTTTATGATTACATGGTCCCTTTTCACCTCCATCCATATGGGAAATAAAGGAATCACTGTTTTTTTTCAAATCGCTGTCCTGCAGGCACTCCCCAAGATCCTGAGTCAGACTGCCCCCGCATTCTGCATGGGCAGCTGCAGCTTTGTAGTGGAAAAGTCCAAGGAATCTACAGCACGAGTTGTTGTCTGGAGAGAGATAGGAGTACAAAGGAGCTACACAATGGAAAGCACATTATGTGGATGTGACCAGGGCAAGTATAAAGTAAGAGGATACATCAGTTAATATTTCTTAATTATTTCTTTTTAATTTCTTCCCTTTGCATTGTTATCTTCTGTAACCCTGCTTGCTCAATTCTTGCTTGCTTTAATCTTTTGAAACATTTTAAGGTCTGGGTAGGCTAACGTAATTTTCAACTTTGTAGGTTGCATAGCAGTTATGCTTATGGGCTGTTTTAACAAGATTAATATTAATGATTGCTTGTAACACATGTGTATGCATGCAGTTAAAAAAACCCAGAACTGTTCTGCCCAACAGATTATTAGGATTTGGTAGTAGTATATGTCAATACTATAATAAAAATTTCCTTTACATATGGCAGTTTCAGGCTTCACCACGGCAGATCATAACTCTTCAACAGATATTTAGCAGTGTCCCTTACAGAATTTTCCCATATAGCTGGGGAAACAGGCTTACACATCAAAACACTTTCACACCGGCTTACCAGCTCTACAAATTACAGATCATCTCTCAACTCACATAGTTGTGTGGCTTCTTGACTTACAATATGTTTTCATGTCCTCTCCTTGAAAAGTGTTAACAGGGCTGCATATCTGAAAACAAAAAGTGACTCTGTTGGTAGTGTCTCACTAGTAGACAGCATGCATGGAAGGAGTGGATTTCCTCTGCTGAAAGTTGAGTTTAGGCATGCTAATCAAGAAAATTATCACAAATAAGGTGCTTGACAGAAGGAGGATCAGAAGTCTGAGACAGAAACAAAAGAGTTAGTTGAACAAGATATATTTATTATATTAATGTATGCTCCAACATCTGTGCTTGTATCCCCATAGAGTAGGAAGACACATAATTTTGTTGAGAATTTCAGTAGGCCTGTAAGTACTACATTTTGTCAATTAACAACAGATGCATTCCTGCTGTTGTCAGAATATTCCTCAGATGATAAAGCTCATTATAGAGCTTTAAAAAAACATAACTCATCCAATTTGCTTATTTTGAAATTTTGAAAATATTCTTAGACATGGACCCTCATGGCTTTAGCAGTGTTGCTACAGGAAGTACTTAAGAAAAGTGATTTGAAGATGCTTTGTGGACATACTTTCAAGATTCTTAAACCTCCAAAACTATTCTTCAATAAGGAAAGAAACAAATGACTGAATTTTGTGGAAGAATCATTTACTCAGGGGAAGAGCGTTCTTTTATGTCATATAAACTAACTGATGAGACTAAATTACTGTTCTGACATTCATTTTATGGAGTAAAACAATTTGTGAGCTCTTAGTCATCCTCTGAATATACTGGAAGATTCTTAATTTTTTCTTCATTATGATAATGCTCAGACTTATTAAGAAAATATATCTAAAAAGTCAAGGTGACTAGACTTATCAAAGTCCTTCATTTCTCCAGTGAGAAGATGAAAAAGACGAAAAGGCTTAATCCCAGGGTTTTTGTGGGGGCTTTTGTTGTGTTGTTTGGTTTATTTTTGAGATTTATTTTGTGGAAGGAGTAGGGCCAGTAAGTCTGTCAATAAACTTACGGTATAAATTAGATTACCTATGTCATAATATGTTATTTCAAAACAGAGAGAAGTTGAACTATAGAAATTCCTTTCCCTCCTACTTCCCACCTAAAGAATGTTAGAGTTCAGATCTGAGGGATGGAAACATAAAGGTCTGAAACACTTTGCTAGTCTTACTCTGGTTTGGCATCCTTGCTGAATTTTGTTCAAAGCATGAAGAGGATTACTTAACAATTTGGTTCTTTGTGGAAGAAATACTGAGTATTTGCCAAGCTGAACATAATTTTTATTCCAATTCATTTTATTTGGACAATGATAAATCTAGACTATTTCCAGCCAGGAAGCTGTGGAGCTGAAGTTAGCTAGTCTTACCTCTATTTGGGATCTCTGGTGACAGAGTTGTCTCTGGAAGCAAATTTTTTTGAGCTGATCATGTAGAATCTTTGTAGTCTGTTGACAGTAAGTGCTGCAAATATAGGTCAATCATCTGTGGTTCAGGATATGGAAAAACAAACTTTCAGGTGAAAGGATTCTCCAGGATCTACTATGGAGCATAATTAAGACACCGTACAAAAGAACAATGTCTTCAATGATTCATGCCGCCTGAAAACAGAAATCAATGTCTTCGCTGATTGAAGATTAATACATTTGGAAGTATTGCTTGACTTTTAAGTTAATTGAAAAGATTTTGTTATCCGGCAATCTTACGACTTAGATAAAGAAGACTTCAAGAAATAAAGATTTTGGTAACAAATTTCTCAGTAACTGTGATTTTTCAGTCTTTAGAATTCGAGTTCTCAGATATTATTATATCTTTGTAACCTCTGTTGGATAAGAAATCAGAAGATCTACATGATATTTTACTGACTTCTTTACCAATTGACTTCTGTGAATCTTTATATAGCTGTTTTCCTTTTATTAATTACGTATTATAGGAATATTCTTCTCCACGTGAGGTCAGTCTGCTGTGCCTTTGTTTTGTATCTTTGCTTTCAAGTGGCAAATTTAATCACTGAGATACTGTATTGATATGAAGGTACCTTCATGACATGCTTAGTAAGGAAGACTTCAGCCCTCCATCTAAAATTCTACTGTCTAGAAGAAAGATTGTTGTATAAGATGTAGAGAAAAAAGAAATTAAATTTAGTTTAAAACAAGAAGCAGCATTGAGATGGCTTGAGCTTAAAAGCAATGCCTGTAGCATGTAAGTAACTTAGCCTCAGTTAAAGGTAATAGGACAACTGTTGAAGATCACTAGAAGATAAAGAAAAGGAATGTAATGAAGGCTTCAGTGAAAATGAACTTGACCTCACGTCCCTTGGGAAGGGCAACTGATGATGGTGATGATGACTTCTTGAACCAGACTTTGGATCTTGTTTCATGGAAATGAAGAAGTTTGGCTGATGGAAGAATAAATTAAGAAATTTGGTATTTGGCATTTTTGTGATATTACATTCTCCCTTATGATTAAAAGAAATTAAAGAAGCAAGTCAAGACTTGGCATGAGGCTTTTACCACAATTGTGTAGACCCTTCAGTGTAGTAAATTCAAAATTTTTCCTTCAGGTGTTTCCCAGTTATCCACCTCCAATCTGCACCATTTAGGTTTCTCTTTAGTTTCATCCTCTTTCTGCTGTGCTAAAAATAGCAGCCACAGAACATGCACACGCTATTTATCTTTATAACAATTGTATTTGCACTTTCCTTCATGCTGTACTCTTGTCCTTTTTCAACTTAGAGACACTCTGTTAGACAAACCTTGTCTATAAGGAACCTGCCAACTAACGATAAATTCTCCAGCAACAAATGCAGATGATAACTGGAAAAGTTTCCGAACCATCAAGTTGTGCACATTAGTAACCTGTGTAACAGTGAGATTACTGTTACCTTTCTCCTTCCTCTTCTACATACTTTGTTGCCTCTTGACCTTAATGTTATTTTAATCTCTTTGGGGCAGGGACTGTGTCTTCCTGTGATTAGCGTAGCGGAGCCCCAGCTATGATTGGGGTCTTCGAAAGTTAATGATGTGCAAACAAATACAAAACAAAACCAAAAAATTGGTCTCTATGGATAAGGTACTGCGCTGAGTGAGGAGAACTGATTTCTGTTCCCAGCGGGGTCAGTGACATGCTGTGAGACACTGTGCAAATCGCTTCAACCCTCTCTGCCTCCATTTCTCCATCAGTACAGTGAGGATAATTCTTCCTTTATTAATAAGTGCTTTGAAACCTACAGCACAAAAGCATTATAAAAGAGGTAAGTAGTATTCTCTTAAGAATAATACTCAACTATTCAACTCTTGTTCACTGCTAACAGGTTTCAGTACCATTTGGCCAGAGGATGGCACTGTTCAGAATCATGGATATAGATTTATCTTTCTTGTTACTAAAAACCACCTTGCTTATGAGTACTACCAAGGCAAAAAAAGAACTCGGAAGAAAGTCAAACTTTTCTTCTATTAAGTATGTTCAAAACAGCACATGGAGAATGTGTGGGTTGTGCCATTTCTGCAGCAACATACTTTCTTTTAATCCTTGCAGTCTAAAATGCTGTGTCAGTGTGGCAACACATGCAAAGCTTGTGTGTTTTTTCCCTAGCTTTTGGTAAAAAAATTCCTGCTTCATTCTTTTTTGCTTCTTTCATACTTGATGGCTTAGCTTACCACCAATTCCTGGCTCTTCTGTTTCCCTGTTTTGTCAAAGCTTCTTTTTAACTAATCTGTATGTTAAGGGATTGAGAAGATCCAAGCTAAAGTCCTTTTAGATTCTCCAGAGATACAGAAGTTGAAAAGGGGGAAATTGAGTGGAGTTGTGCCACTGAATTTGCTAGTGTATATACCATTAGTACTAGCCAATTACATAACTGTTGAGGCTCAGTCTAGATTACACTCTTTTTATAAAATAGTTGAGGTCAGAGGTTATGTCCCTATATACTGCACTTCTGGCTAAATTAAAAATTTAGAATTACCTGATGGGAGGATTTATTAGATATGTAAACTTGGAGAGCATTACATAAGTTCTACCTTCTAAATAGTCTTTACAGAGGAAAATGCCTGGCTATGTAATTCAAGTTAGAAAAGAGCTATAGCTTTTGAGAATTTGTTTGTTAGTTTTAATTACTAAATATGTGAATAAATGCTTTCAGAATTAACACATGTAGTCCCTAACTTACAGGCAGGGAAGAGACATCTGTCTCATGGAGTAACTGCTGCCTTAGGTAGTCTTACCTATGTGTCAAAACATAGCAATGAATTTGAGCACAACTATGATATTAATTCTCTCCTTTTAAAATTATGTTTGGTGGAATTTACATTGAGGAATCTTGTATTTTAAATTCTTATTTTAAAATAATTTATACTTATGAACCTAGACATTGTCTCTCTTCCAATACCACTGGGAAAAGATTTGTTAATTTTGGGGTGCTAGAAGTGTAGACTAGGAAGCTCCAAAAAAAATTAATATGTCTGTTCAGCCTTGAAGGAATCATGTATGTATTCCTGAGTCTTCTCTGATACTCTGAGTGTTTATTCTACAAATCTGATTAGTTCTGTCTTTAAAAGCAAAAGAATGTATTAAATAAAGTAAGAAAATATTAACCTAAAGAGCTATTCTGCAGCATGTGTGGGTCCATCTGCCTGTACCTATTTTGTATTTTTAAATCTTATTTTCACATTAGGGATTGCAGATAGGTACAAGAGAACTGGAGGAAATGGGAGCAAAGTTCTGTGTTGGCTTGCTGCGTTTAAAAAGAATGTCCTCACCTTTGGAATACAACCTGCCTTCTAGTCTGTTGGATTTTGAAAACGAGCTGATTGAATCAAGCTGTAAAGTGACAAGGTAGTACACTTTTATTATATTCACTTTTTCTTTTGGGAAAAACTTGCAGTTTCTCAAGTGGTGTAAAGATTCTTTCAAAAATGTTCTTCCACTCATCAAAAATAATGCTGATGTGTTATGACATTACTGTAACAATAATCTGAATATGTTGGAGACCTGTTGTATTAATTCAGTTGCCTCAAAGTTTGAAAGAAAACAATATAGACAGAGTTAGACTATATGTCACATTTGCTGCTGGGATAAACACTAGCCATTTCAATGTCATTGGGGAGTTATTACAGGCCATAAAATTCAGTAGTAGGACTTAGGTCTCAACTGTCTCTTTCAAAGTGTTGTTTTTTGGTTTTTTTACTTGCTGTGGTATTAAAAATGTATTTAAACAGACTTAAAGTATGTGAGGTAAAGCAGTAAGAACTGTAAGTATTTCTTCCTAATTTTTTTTTCTTATTTCTCCACTGGTGGAGATATATAATAAGACTTGAAGAACTTAAAATATATAAATAGTTTGGGTCACAAAAAAAATTTATATTCTCAGTAGCCAGGTTACTAAGTTGCTGGTTCTTAAAGCTGTAGATAGGCTTGCAAATGTATGCACATGTTGCATTTTTCCATTAATGTAATTCATCACTGAAGTATTTATATGTACATGGTAAATAAGGATGGACAGCAAATAAGTGATTTTGAATGTACAAACATATTTTTCTGAAAATGTGGTTGACAGACTAATAAAGCTGAGTTCCAGACTTGAAAAAAAAATCATTGGAAAGGAGTAAAATTTACATGGTATAATATATCTACTAATGTTGTCTGTAGCTCCATTGCTAAGGCAATGGAGTGGAAATTTGGGGAAAAAATGAAATTTGTTACTGCTTCTGGGCAGTTGAAACAAGGAAGTACATGACAATAAGACATACACTGGATGTAAGATTAATAAGCAATTTGTTTGTAGAACATGGAAACCTACCAGAGCTATGGGAGGGCATCTGTGACACCCTATGACAGGGAAATAATATTTATATCCCTCATTCAGGCCCATCAGTGTTCCTGGAGTGTCTAGTATTAAGAGAAACTGGAGCTTGTTCATGCTTACCTTTTACAGATAATAATGAAAAGCAAAGCATAAGCTAAAAGGTGATAAAAACAATAGGAGTAATGATAGGAGGATGTCTTAGGAAAGTGGTTAAAAGTGTAGGAATAGTAGTGGTGATATGCTGGCTCCAGCGATGGTTGGATGTCCCCAGTATCATTTGCTCACTAGCTGAACATCAGATGTTTATAATGACTAAAATTTTACTGTCAGAACAAGTTTCGTGCTTGGATACAGCTGAGTTAGTGATTCCTGGAAAAGATCGTGTCAGAAAGTGGGTTTGGGGTAATCAAAGAACTTCTGTAAGTATATAAGTAGTAAAAGAAATTTTAGCGGAAATAATGGGTCCACAGGTGAATGGGACAGGAGCCCTGGTGACACAGGACATGTAAAAGGCTGAGGTATTGACTGCCTTCTTCATCTTAGTGTTTACTGGAAAAATCAGTTCTTGGTGTGCTAAGGACCCAGACACTGGGGAAGGATTGGAGCAAAGAAGACCTACCCATAGTGGGAGAGGAACAGGCTGGAGAATACTTAAGCAAGCCAGTCTTACCTAGGTCCAGAGGTCCTGATAAGATGCACCCACAAGTACTAAGGGAGCTCACTGATGTCACTGTGAGGCCACTCAATAATTTTTGAAAGATCATAGTGATAGGAACAGGTGCTTTTGAAGGAAATCAGATGTCCTGCTTGTCTTCAGGAAGAACAAGGAGGAGAATCCAGGGAATTACAGGCTGGTCAGTCTCGCTGTGATCCCTGATAAGGTGATCAAACGACTAATCCTGGAAAGTATTTGCAGCTATTTGAAAAAGGGTGTTCATGAGTAGTCAACATGTGATCCTTCCCCTCTCCTCAGCACTGGCAAGGCCTGCACACCTGAAGGACTGTATTGTTCAGGACAAGAGTGTCATGGACCAACCAGAGATAGTCCAGTGAGGAGCTCCTAATATGTTGAAGGGACTGATGTTCCTCTCATAGGAGGTAATGCTGAGAGAGCAGGGATCATTAGTCTGGAGTAGAGGAGGCTCAAAAGGCTCAAAGTATACAAATACTTGCAGGGAGGTTGTAAAGAAGGTAGAGCCAGTCTCTTTCCAGTGGTATCTGCTGGCAGGCTAAGAACACAAACTACAGAGGAAAGTGAATTTGTCATTATATACATAGAAAGGTGCCTAGGTTTGGCCAGAACAGGGTTAATTTTTTACTATAAATAAAAAGGGGCCTGGCCAGACCCTACTGCTATTTGATACCATCTCATCAATTGTCAGGGGCTGGAGTAAGAGACTACCTTATTTCTGGTCAGGCTTGGGGGGAGAGAAACTGTGGCAGGTAAAGAGTCTGGTATTGTTGCACTTTCTATGTAAATTATTCCATTGTGTTTTAACTGTTATTAATGTTGTTGCTTCCTTTCTTCTCTCATTGCTGCTTCCAGTAAATTGTTGTTATCTCATCTTGTAATTTTTTACCTTTGCTCCTCCAGTTCTTAACTCCATTCCCAGAGAGGGGAAGGAGAAGGGGAAGGGGATGGAGCAAGTGAGCAGCATTTGGTTTGGGAGGGTCTTGGTGGGGGCACTGAGCCATGACACATTTTTATATATACATGTGTATGTATATGTTCATTGTGAGGATGCTCAAACAGTGGAACAAGCTTCCCGTGGAGGATATAGAGTCATATCCCAGAGGATATTTGAAAGCTGTCTTGATGTGATCCTAGCAAACTGCTGTAGGTGGCCCTCTAGAGCAAGGATGTTGGGCAAAATTACCTCCTCAGGTTTTTTCCAAGCTCAGCCATTCTGTGAAAAGGGGGAAAAGTCTTCAAGTCTTTTCTCAAAAGGTACTGAATGCTGGTGTTTTGGGCACTTCAAATTTGAGTGCTAGTGTAGGTAATCAGAATACAGAGTTCTAAAAATCACATATTAGTTGCATTTGTCTCTCTCAGAACTTAAGCAGCGAAGATCCTGTTCCCTTGGCATTTCTGTCATATATGCCATCCTGATTCTATCCAGGACAAGTTTAATTTTTGCAGTAGCTGGGAGGGATGTTATTCTACACCACCTCACATCATTGTCAGGCACAGGGGAAGGGACTCTCTTCAGGGAATAAGGAGTTCCTCAGAGTGGAGAAAACACAGCAGACAGAGCAGTCTGGTATTCTGTGGCTCATTTCTTTTCTTATATCTTTTGTTATTAATATTGTTGCTGTTACTCTTCACCTTCTTATCCCATTGCTGTTTCCAGTAAATTGTTCTGATCTCCATCTTTTGTGATCTCTGCCTTTTGTCCCTCCAGCTGACAGGAAGGGGAAGTGGCTCATGGTTTTGCGGGAGTACTGAATTGGAGAATACTGTTTTTAGACCACAACATATGCTTTAATAATTTTTTAAAATAGTAATTCTTCCATAAACACAGGCTGGCTGTTAAGCAGTTTCACTTGATAACTATTGTGGATGGCCTCTAAATGATAGCCTTTCAGCCAGCACATGTGTTTCTTGAGTTCCTCATGTGCAGCATGTTTAACTTGGAAATTGTGCCTACATATTGCACCTATTTGTCATACTTTTTTTTTCATTTGCAGCTGCAATTATATTATATCACTGTCAATTTTATTAAAACTAAAGCTTCAGCATAAATATGTCTCTTTGAAATATTAAAATTCAGTTACAGCATTTTGAATCAAGATGTGGTTGTGAGCAATTAATCCATGAGAGTGGCATTGAAAAACAGCACAGATTCCCATGTAACTTTATATTACTGGCTGCCTCAAGCATGGGATCTCAATTTTCTGTTGTGTCTTGGGTTTAGTGTTAGCATCCTAGTTCACAGGTAGTTAGTGGCTATTCTTTGGAAAAAAAAATCTGTGCTGGATTTCTGTTTATTAATGTTACTTATGGCAGATTTTCCATATGAGAGCATCTATAGAATTGAGAAAAGTCATATCATACACAAGTCACCTCCCTTAGTATTTGCTAGGAAGCTAAACACACATCAAAAACACTTTAGTATCAGAATGGGATAAAAAAGGGTGAGATGACATGTTTGTTTTCTCTTTGATAGCAAACTTCAGTAATGCTAGATGAGAAGAGGAACAAATGGAAACACATAGTTTGTTTTAATGTTATGAAATACAGCAAATCCTGGTATATTAATAGATGCATGTAGTTTGAACTTCCTTTACCAGCTACAATACTTCATTGACCCAGCTATCTCTAAAAAATTATTGTGTATGAAAACTAATTGCATATGAAGTACAACCATGCTGGGGGCAGGGGAAAACTGCCTCTGACTTGATTTACATTTCATTGCTGGGAAATGAGTGGCACAGAGACTGTTCTAGCCTGGATTTTTGGAAAGCACTGATAAAAGTCTTAGTCCTACATAAACATAATATTTTTGGCTATGTATGAGCACAGGTAAAATGTAACATTGGGCTCATAATAAGCTTACTATTACTGAGACTCTATGTAAAAATATTTATAATCCTGATCTGTGAAGAAAGTAACCAGTACTCTGGAACTTAAAAAAACCCAGCAGGTTCAGTTCCATCCAAAAGACTAGATCATGAAAATCACAAAAATAATTGTACTGCAAGATGAAATTGTAAATTTGTGAGAGATGATTAAATAACTTAATTCAGTGTATTAAAAGTGAATTTATACCTAGAATTTTTTTAAATGGTTTCCCCTAACATGACCTTTGGGTGTTACAAAGCTACACATGGTGAAAGGTGATAATCAAGTGCTTCTGCACTAAAGAAATTAGGAGAGTGGGGAAAAAAAATCAGATTCTGTGCATGTAAGAGTTAATATTTTTAATCTATATGGAACATTGACATAAGAAATGTTGAAGTTTTTTGGAGGAATCTGTTAACATCTGTTTAAGTTTTAAGTCCTGATGGCTTTATTTCTTAAAGTCATTAA